CGTAACAGCAAAATACATATTGGGGACCTCTCATATACATCTTATACCCCATTGTTTATCAATTATTATCATCAAATGAGGAGAATTCATTATTTTTGTAAGATAATTGAAGGGGACTTGCAAGTTAATCAAGTGAAGATTCAAATTTGATTTTTGGGCAAAGATGAGAAGACGCAAGTAGAGATTCATCAAGAAACTATTGAAGAGATTCAAGATTCATCTTCATCTTCTCAATATATCAAAATTTCGATATGTTATGCTAGTTTTATACATTGTTAGGATGAGATGAACCCTTTTAAGAAATTTTTAATATTAATTAATTATTTTGACGACTAGTATGTTTATTATCTTGAATGTTTATAATTGTTTTCACCGATTTTTCAATTAATTAGCTTATTAATAATTTTGACGACTAGTGTGTTTATTTTCTTGAATGTTTATTATTATGTTCGACGACTTTTCAATTAATGAGTTAGTAATTGAGATGATTTATTGGAATCTATTATTATCGAGAGAGATAATAGGTTTTTAGTTAAAAATAATAAATATTGTAAAGTTCGATAGGGGATAGAGATATACCTCTATACTTTACATGGTTTTCATATGTGTTCTAGATCGTTTAATACATTTATCATGTTCGCATCTTTTGTCAGGAGATAGGAACATCACATAAGGGAATAGATTTGATAACTATCGAGAGGGGTTTTCAATTAAATTAGGAACATTGACCAACAAGATTGATTACAAATTGTCACTTTAATTCGTTTTGCTAAAATGGATTAACAATGGCGATTCGACATCTTAGTAATACTTTCATATATTTGAAATCAAACTAGTTAAATTGCTTTCTAATTTAATTGATAATTTAGATATTAGTATAGAAAACTCAAAATCTATTTGCTATTCGATTAATGTTACTATTAATTTGAGCTTGATTGAATACTTAGTTCTCGTGGGTTCGACACCCTACACACTACTATATTACTTGTTCACAATCCTGTTTACTTGCGGGAAATCAAAGGATCAAAACCACCTACTTGAAAGCAGTCAGTCAAGAACTCCAGTCAAATGGGTACCTCCAGGTAGTGAGCTCCTTAACTTGAACATTGATATGGTGATGAGCAAGGAAGAAGGACTCATTGGTGTCGGAGCTGTGATAAAATGAATATTGTGTGGTGATCCCGGTGCAATGTAAGCGTTCGCTAGGCTTGTTTCCTGCTGAGACCACTAAAACCATTGTTGTTCGAGAGGGCTTGATCTTTAATATTTTCCAAGGAATGCCGCTTCCAAACCAGTGTAGTGGAGACCAATTGGCTCAAGGTAGTTCAGAGCCTCCAGAAGAATTTAAGTGGAATTGTTTCTTTATGTTTAGAGATAGGGAATAGTCTTTATTCCTCGCAAGGGAATAAGGTAGTCCACAAAGTTGTTTCTATATTTGCTTTAGTTTTCCCGTTAGATGATGGATTGATTATTTGTCTTGTACACTTTTGACAACTTCGATGATTTGAATTAATAGAAATTACATATTCATGATAACAGAAGGTCCCAAGTTTTATTTCAAGATTTTTACTCCATGATTTAATTAAATAAATGGCACGTTTGATTTACAATTAAAATTTCTACTGAATTTTTTGCCTTGAAATCTTCACACATGCACCAATTCTTTTTCTATAAAAAAAAACCCAAAAATGACTTTTTACAACAAAAAATTCCATTGTTAATAGTGAAATTTCTTGTTATTTCCCTCAGAATATATATATCAAGGAAGAAACAAAAGATGCTCCATGACATGTGCCAGACATGATTCAAGGACCAGCTCATGATCCTAATTTACAGTAAATATTCTGTTTGTAATATTGTAAAGTTTGGTATTAAATATTGCTGTAAATTCTCTGTAATGTCCAGCCATTAACTTTGTAAATTTCCTTGCATAGTTGAGTCAAAGTCTGTATATAATCTTACCATCAATACAATGAATGTGTGTTCAGAAATCTCAAAAACCTTGCAATGTAAAATTCTTTACATGGTATCAGTGGAGCCAGCACTCTAACGTGAATACTTTCCATTCTTTCCAATGGCTGCTATCATTGGTTCATCTTCAGACAATCCCATCATCACAATCAATGTCGCTACCACCATCAATGAAAAACTCACCCCTACAACCTTTCCTCAATGGAGAGCCCAATTTGAAGCACTGCTTACAAGTTATGATTTAATCGATTTTGTCACCGGCACACATCAATGCCCAGCTATTGATGCAAACCCGTATACCTCTTCCATAGCAGCAAATTCCCACTGGATTAGCCAAGATAAATTAATCCTCCATACCATTCTTGCCTCTACCTCCACAACAATCACCCAACTTCTTGCTTCTTGCAAAACTTCTCAAGAGGCCTGGACAATTCTTACCCGTCTTTATGCGGGAAAATCTTGAACGCGTGCAATGCAACTTAAGGAAGATTTAACCTTAAGTACTCGTAGCAACCGCTCTGTCGCTGAATTTCTTCAAGGTGTGAAAATAATTGCTAATGAACTTGCAATTATTGATCATCCAATTTCGGAGATGACTCGACTGTACATCTTGAATGGCCTTGGTCCCAAGTTCAGGGATATTGCAGCCCCAATCCATGCTCGAGAAACTTCTTTGAATTTTGAAGAAATAATGACCTACTAGTTGGTCATGAGAACTACATTCGTCGAATGGAGATCAATCAGCATCTAATCTGGTGGCCACAGCAAACTATAGTCATCGCAAAGGTAGTTCAACCAGTAACGATGGCTCTGGTTCTCAATGCAAGTCATTTTCAAGTAAGGGCCATGGATATAACAAGAAAACTAACTCTGATTCAGGCCAACGCAGGTTCAAGCCTAAATGCCAATTGTGTGAACAATTGGGCCACACGGCCAAAAGCTGTCCCAGATTTAATTCAAATGAAATTTACAGCCAACTGTGTCACTTCCTCACAAGGAAAAAATCAAAAATGGCTTGTTAATTCCGCTGCATCGCACAACATGACCACAGACCCTTCTAATCTCTCAATTCACTCTGAGTATGATGGTATTGATGAGGTGGTAATTGGTGATGGCACGGGGTCTGTCTGTCTCTCATGTTGGCTCATTATCTTTCATTTCACCTAATTGTGTCTTTCATTTACGTGATACTCTGTGTCCCAACCATTAAAAAAAATTCTTGTTTCGGTCCATAATTTTACGAAACACAATAATGTTTATCTGGAATTTCACCCATTTTATTTCTTGGTGAAGGATTGGATGACAGGAGCGACACTAATCAAAGGTGATTGTGAAGATGGAGTGTACCCTTTCAGTCTTTGGAAGTGGTTTCTAGGAAGGCTGTTGCGTATGTTCATGAACATACATCAACTGATGGTTGGCACAAAAGACTTGATCATCCATCTTCAAAAATTGTCAATCATCTTACTCGTACTTTTTCATTACCTACAAAACAAGGCATTTCCTTGCTTTGTAATTCCTGTTCTCGGAATAAAGCTCATCGCCAATCTTTTCATTCTTATGGTCTGAAAAGCACGACTCCTCTTGAATTAGTTTACACAGATGTTTGGGGTCCGTCTTCGGATATTGGTGTTGATGGATCAAAACATTATGTGATTTTTATTGACCAATTCACCAAATATATTTGGCTATATCCTATATCAACCAAATCTTAACATAGTATCAGAGCTCGTTAAACTCCAACGAACAACTCGATCCAATTAAGACTCAAAAAAATTGAGCACGCGGATTTAAACTTTGGTCAGCTTGTTCAAGGAAGAAACAAAAGATGCTCCATGACATGCGCCGACAAGATTCAAGGACCAGCTCAAGATCCTAATTTACAGTAAATATTCTCGTTGTAATATTGTAACGTTTGGTATTAAATTTTGCTGTAAATGCTCTGTAATGTCCAGCCGTTAACTTTGTAAATTTCCTTATGTAGCTGATTCAAAGTCTGTATAAAATCTTACCATCAATATGAAGAATGTGTGTTCAAAAATCTCAAAAACCTTGCGGTGTAAAATTCTTTACAATATATTCTTCAACTGTCACATGGGTTCTGGAGGAATTTAGACCCGTTCAAAGTCAACTCTCAGATTTTTGTATTCTATTATTTCTGCCCAACATTATCTATATCATCTAATTAATTTATTATATTTGGTTATCTATAAAAAAAAGTTGAATATGCTCGTCCACTTCTGACCTCAAGGCATATTAGCAATTTGTCTATCTTCTTTCTTATTTGCAATTGGGACAGTATAAATTTCATAAATCAGAAATTACTCAACTATATAATCACCTTTTGTTCAATTTATCCTTAATTGGAGTCCAACAATCTTTTGATTTTATTCGAAACCAGCATAACTTCTCATCTATCAAATGGATGAAAATCATGATTCGACTACTTGAACGACCTGATCATACGAATAACGTCCAATCAAATCCACCCTAATCGAGTTTTGGAATAAACCCGGATGAAGTGTTTCGCCTTTCACTAGAAAGAAAAGAAATGTGTGAGAATGTGTTGAACTAATCAAGGTCAGATTGCCCGAAAGTTAAAAACTCTACCCAAGCCAATCTTCTGCAATAGTTATGTCAAGTCGAGGACAATTGAGGTCTACATAGGATATATGAATCGACTCATGTTTTAAAAAGGTTGAAAATGTCAATTTTTGTACCTCCTTGAATGTTTTGATGGGCGCTGTCGTGTCTAGGTAACCCAGGACGATCTCAAAACAATCGATTGAGTTAATTCGATTTAATTTACACATCTAATTTATTTGACATTGTCAAATTATTAGAATAATTGGGCACTCAAGACTTTCCCAGAAACCCACTCTTTGCCAACCTGTGCATTTCCTAATTTATAGACAACTTGAAAATTACATTATATGCTAATTTGAAGTAGCACACCAAAAACCCCGCCATGCATTTCAACATCCCACGTTAGAATAATTGTACAGTGTTTTTCAGACTATACAACGAGCATGTTTTTACATTATGCCTTATTCCATCTCTTGTTGTTACTTCCACTGGCACCGGCAGCACCACCGAACACCACCAACGTCACTATGAATAGCCACTCTATCGCCGCCGGTGCCACCATTACAAAACCTGGTTGCCCAAGCAAGTGTGGAAACTTAACTGTTCCATTCCCATTCGGCGTTGGTGTGGGCTCTGGCTGTTCCATAGGTTCATGGTTCGATGTCAACTGCAGCACTTCATTCGATGATCCTCCGAAGGCCTTCATCGGCACTGGAAACCTCCAGATTCTCGACATCTCCGACAACGAAATACGAATCAAGAGCTGGGTGGCTGCAAGCTGCTACAACCGGTTCGGTACGTTGACCCGCCAGAACGTGGCCAACATCGATTTAAAACCATCGTCACCTTACACCTTTTCGGATTCCAATAAGTTCACAATTGTGGGCTGCGATGAATTCGCATTGATAGCTGGATCAGAAGGCCGGAATTTCACCAGTGGATGTGTGTCTATTTGCTCGAGCAGCGAGGATTTAATCGAGGGGGAGTGTTCGGGAATTGGTTGTTGCCAGACAGCAATTCCAAAGGGTTTAAAGAAGTTTAATTCTAACCTCGGAACTCTCAATAATCACACAAATATTACATCGTTTAATCCCTGTGGATATGCCTTTCTTGGAGATCAAAATAGCTATATCTTCCATAAATCAGACCTTTTGGATCAAACTTTTCAAAATAGGACTATTGAAAATGTTCCGGTAGTGATTGATTGGGCAATTGGTAATCAGAATTGCACAGTTGCTCGGCAATCAAATGATTACGCTTGTCGCGGGAATAGTACCTGTGTTGATTCTGATACTGGTCTTGGGGGATACCGGTGTAGCTGTTTACAAGGATACGAGGGAAATCCTTATCTTAGTCCCGGCTGCACAGGTATTCTTTGTTGTTTTCTTTATCTTTTGTTGTACAAGAAAAAGAAGTTAAAGAGTTCGCTTTTCTTGGAAAATTAAGGAGTAATTGATGTGTTTCTTTGACAGATGTTAATGAATGTGAGAATAGTCCTTGTGATGAACACGGGATTTGTACGAATACTCCAGGCAGTTATAACTGTTCTTGTGCGGATGGATACTTTGGAGACGGCAGAAAAGAAGGCCACAGTTGCATTGCTCAGAACTCTCAGTTTCCAGTTATTAAATTTGCATTAGGTATCATGTGATTACTTTATATAGAACCACGAGTTCATTTGCTTTTGTCGAGCTTCATACGATTCGTACTAATGAAACAAAATTGAAATTTTGTAGGTATGGGTTTTGGCTTCTTGGCCTCAATCATTGCTGTTACTTGGCTATATTTCAGCATCAAAAAAAGGAAGCTTATTAAACTAAGAGAGAAATTCTTCCAGCAAAATGGTGGGGTGCTGTTGAAGCAGCAATTTTCTACGAATGAGGGTAGTATGAACTCAGCAAAGATTTTTACTGCAGCAGAACTAGAAAAGGCCACCAACAATTATGCAGAAGACCGCATCCTTGGTCGAGGTGGTTATGGTACAGTTTATAAGGGACTTTTGAGGGATCACCAAATTGTTGCAATCAAGAAGTCGAGAGTAATGGATCAGAGTCAAATCGAGCAATTTATCAACGAATTGATTATTTTGACAAAAGTCAACCATCGAAATGTGGTGAAAATCATGGGATGTTGCTTGGAGACAGAAGTTCCTATGCTCGTTTATGAATATGTTTCGAATGGTACACTCTTTCATCATATACATAATAGTGCTGGAATGCCTTGGTTCTCATGGGAGAATCGTCTGAGAATCGCATCAGAGGCTGCCGGTGCATTGTCCTATCTGCATTCGGCTGCTGCGATGCCTATTATCCATAGAGACGTAAAATCTCCCAACATACTATTGGACGAGTATTATACTGCGAAAATTTCTGATTTTGGAGCATCTAGATTGGTGCCTATAGATCAAACACAAGTGACAACTCTTGTCCAAGGAACTTTAGGATATTTGGACCCCGAGTACTTCCACACGAGCCAATTGACAGAAAAAAGTGACGTCTATAGCTTTGGGGTAGTTCTTGCTGAGCTTATGACAGGTAGAAAACCACTATCCAACACAAAAAATGATGAGGAAAAGAGTCTTGCTACGTTTTTCGTCGTGTCATTGAAGGAAAATCGTCTCTTCCAAATTCTCGAGCCTCGTGTGCTTAGAGAAGGGAGTTTAGAGCAACTTCGTGCTCTTGGCGAACTTGTAAGAAGATGTTTAAGGTTACAAGGTGACGAAAGACCAACTATGAAAGAAGTGGCTATGGAACTCGAAGGATTGAGAAAATTCACAAAACATCCATGGGCTCAACAAGAAAACCAGGAAGAATCTGCAGGCTTGATGATTGAACAATCAGATCTCTACACTGTCACAATTAATCGTGATCATGCCACAGGGGATTCTAACTCAGGACAATACAGCTTGGATAGTCGTATGATCCACCCGATTCACAGTCCTCGTTGAGTAATTAAGTTTGTTTTTACATAAGTTGTTGACTACTGCTAATAAAGTGTAATTCGTTAATTTTTATGTTGTACTCCCTTCTTCAGGCCAGAAGCCAAGTCGAGCTCCCTCTTAAGCCTATATTTTGCCTGTATGTTTTAATCTACTGTACTGTTTCGGATTGTTCCTTTAATATGTTTCTTCAATTTTCATTTTTGCTTCTGAAGACCAATAAGTTTTCATCTTATTGTTCATATTGAAAGTTCTGACAGTATTATCCATAAAAATTAACAAATTAAGTCTCTATAAATATAGGTTTAGTCATATCATTTGTCTATTTTTATTTCTTAGCTCTTAATAGAAGGGATAGACCCAATAACAAATTAAGGATAAAAGTTAGATTTTTGGTAAATTTTGATAAAAGTCGATGAAATATGTAGTTGAACTGTTGGTAAAAGTTATTCATCCCATAAATTATATGATTGAAATTAATTTTTAATAACAATAAATTTTAAGAAATGGGGATGACAAAGTCTATTTCTAGTTTCTTATCTCCCAATAAAAAATTATTGGGATTTACAATTTAGTCTTGTACAACTTCTCTCACATGCAGAATGAATGTTATATGCACATTATTTAGAAAAGAATGCATTTTATGATGTGATGTGATGTAAAATACGTGGTTAATAAATAAAGAAAATCTTTGTATTACGTGTAATATTATTTTATTGAAAACTGTGTAGTTGTAATACGTGGTTAATAAATAAAGAAATTTTTTGTATTATGTGTAATATTATTTTATTGAAAAATGTATGGTTGAAAATAAATTTTGAAAGAATGAATTTTTTTAATAATGTGAATCAAACAGGAGCTTATATAATTTTCGTAAATGAGTGAGGAAAATTTAATTCAAAATCTCCATCAGTTGAATAATATAATCTAAACACTTCAAAAGTATCTCTATTTCACCTGACTTATTATAATTCTCTGCATTACATCCTTTCAATTCCTTAATTCTTAAAATAATCATTTCTAAGAAAACACAATCCTTCATAGTAACTTCATTACATATTACATATAAGAAAAGAAGCGCCCAGGTACGAAGCAAGACGTTTTGCCCACATTTCGCTTCTAGGCGTATTTTTTATAACGCTGTTATGTTTATCTTATAGATATTTTATTTTTTAATAATTCAAGACTTGGTACCAAAGAACGTAACATGTCTATGGATCTTATTACGTAAAAGGTATGTTGCTCAAGTTGTTAAAGATTAAAATACTTGTTTACTTCAATTTAGTCTTGTACAACTTCCCTCACATGCAGAATGAATGTAATGCTTATTAAAATTCTGACATGTATATAATTTTCGTAAATGAGCGACCTAGAGATATTATTTAATCTAAAAACATCAATTGTATCTCTATTTCACCTAACATATTATAATTCTTTGCATTACATCCTTTCAATTCCTAAATACTTAAAATAATCATTTCAAAGAAAATACGATCCTTCGTAGTAACTTCATTACATATAATTCATAATACCAATTATTGAGAAGATGAATACAAAAATCATAATTTTAATCCTCAACTTGGTTGAAGACTTGAAGTCCACTCTATTCTATTTCTTTTTAATGAAAAATAGTTCTCAAAACATGGTTATTTTCTTGCTGGGTAGGGCCCAATCTAGCGTGAAATTAAGCTGGGGATTGATAAAATTTCTATCCAAAGATTCCACAAGATTTTCTAAGTCAATTATGTTACTTTTTCTTTTCAGAAGTCAGATTAATGCAAATTGGCACTAATTCAACTCATTGGAGATTAGATGACTATGATCTGTAGTTGAACTGGTCCTGCTGCTGAAGCTACTTGATCTGAACGTGCGTGGAGTTAATTAGGTATATTGATAGTCTTGTAGTGGAAATTATGGTCTCATAATATGTAAAGGAGATAGTACCTCTCCTTTAAACTTTCTCGTAAATTTTGGTTGGAGGGCGAGTTTTATGTCTTGATCTGTCTTTAGTGTATTTGTACTTTATATCATGCACAGGTCGGGATTTATATCATAGTATCATACATACATCTAGATACAATCGAAGTTCAATTAAAACAAAAAAACTTGCATGGAGTTTACTCTTTACGAGAACATATAAATTAGTTTTGATAGAGGGAGCCTGCATGACAACTGAAAATTTTGGTCATGTAGTTCTTTTTAATTCTGCTCAGAATGTCTAACTTATCAAATATACATTATGTATCCTGGCATTTCCATTATTCTCTATCCATGTAATAGGGATCTAGTTCGTCATAACAAAGAGTTGTGAAAACTTATCAGATACGTTTGATATGACTACGAGGTTCACTTTTCTTCTAGATATTTGTCCTTTTCATAAATATTCTTAGGCTATGTTTGATGAATCGTGCTATAGGGCCCGGCTCAATGACCGGGCTCAAAAACAGGGCGTCAAGTCAGCTCCCCCTCCAAGTACTGGCTCCCTGTTTTTTGTCCCAGTCATTGAATTGGGACAAATGGCTTCAGCCATGTTTGATAGCCTTTTTTCATGGGAAAAATGGTTTCCATGTTAATTTTTTT